GGTTTTTGTATCCACGGGGATAGTCTGTGATTTGGACTGGTTCTACTGACCTGGAATATTCTGGCTTTCATCTGATGCTGCCATCTCTTGTTTCACATTGGAAAAAGAAAGAATAAAAAGATGGATTAAAATAAACATGACAAAGATACATCAAAAGATAGCATTTTAAGGGAAAATGAGACCAAAATAATTAAAATAGACAATTGAACAGAAAGAATAGCTTTAAAGGTCATGGGGCTGGAGAGATGACTCAGCAGTTAAGAGCACTGGCTTCTCTTGAAGAGGACTCGGGTACAATTCCTAGCACCCATATGGTGACTAACTGTCTTCCATAATTCCAGTTCCAGGGGATCCACCCTCTTCCGACCTCCACGGGCATTGCATGACATGAGTGTACTTACATACATGCAGGCAATACACTCATTCTACTTAGCAGTTAGAACAGATGAAATTATGAAATTTGCAGGTAAATGGATGGAACTAGAGACTTATACTAAGTGAAGTAACACAGACTCAGAAAAATAAGTGACCTATGTTCTCCCTTGTTTACTGATTGTAGTAACACCAATCCCTTATATGTAAGTTTAGATCTTGTTGTAACAGCAGAGCCAGGAAACTAGAAAGGAAACACAGAGGTAAAGAAAAAGAAAGCCCAAAAGAGGGGGATATTAGGGAACCGGTGTTACTGGGGGGAGGTGGGGAAAGTGGGATTATTCGACTGGGAGAATATAGGGAGGGACATACGAGGGACCATGGTGGTGGGGGAGGAGGCAATTCAGGAGAGGGGATGAAGGACATGAGTGTTATAGGGGAAAGGAGAGGGGATAATGAGGTAATGGGGGAGCTTGGACTGGGGATGGAGGAGGGAGGTTGAATGGGGAGAGAGAGGAGAGATGGATGTATCATGGGTAGTATAGGAAGACAGAGGGCATTGTGTTGGTTTGGGAACCCCTGGAGAAATGCACATAAGGTGCATTAGTGGACGTGTATACCTGGGGGCTGTATGGCAAGGAGCACAGTACCAGACAGGAGAGACCTCCCTTTAAGTGGTAGGTCAGAGTAGTTCAAGAGACTTCCAAAATAACAGAGGCTATTGCTGGAACTCTTGGTTATCTCCCAGAACTGGAAGGTAACACCCTACTGCTGAAGACAGTTCATAATTTGGGCACAGGACTTGGAGCAATGGAGTAGGAACTGACCTGAAAGCCTTTTCCCTGAAGACCAGCTCTAGAGGATAATATGCAAGCTGATAAGGGAGAAAATAAATCAATGGTCCAACCCAGTTCTAAAGTCTAATAAACATAAGAAATGACACAGTAACTACCTCTACTGGTGCAGTAGTAGCACTGTTATCTTGGAGGGGGGCAATCAACAGCTATCCAACTGGTCTTAAAGCCCTCTCAATAGGAGTGAACTTAGACTCATGAGTGGCACTATAGCCAAATATACATGGCTGGAGAGGTCAAATATCTTAGAGGCAACCCTCTCTGCCATATCGCAGGACAAATAAAATTTCTTAACATATGCTAAATATGGATCCTTATATTTACAGAGAAGTGTACCATACACCACTCATCAAAGAAACTTTTTTTTGCAACAGATGGAGGCTACTGCAGACTTCCACAACTGGTCAGATACAGAGAATATACATCTGAGAGATGCCCAGTCTTAGGTGACATTTACAGTGAAACCTCTGCACCTAAAACTCAAAGAACATTGAGGAATAGGGGGTGGAGGGAATCCTGGCGCTTCCCTCAACTCTCACCAATAAAGCTTTCTTATATGACAGAGCATGATGCACACAGAAGGCCTCAACTAGCTAAGTTTTAGAGAATAAGAGACTGCAAAGTCTGCATCCTTGTTTAGGACTTCTATATTAAACCTCACCCACCCGCGACTCAGGCACCATTGCAGAAGAGAGGATGGAAAGATTGTAAGAGTCAGGGCTGGTTCATGAACACAGGGAAGCAGAGGGTTTCAGGTCCCTGGAAACTTGCACATGTGAACTTTTGGCAGTGGTGGCATTGAGCACAGGATCCATACCAACTCAATCAAACAAGGGCCCAGAGTGGAGAAAGGAAAATGGGTGGGGGCCAGCCCTAGTCAGGATCTACTGGAGATGGATTACTACTGCGTGAAGGAGAGTAGGCCTTACTTAGGATCTCTAGATAGGCTGACTAGTCAGTGGATGCATTTGCACTGAAGTATAAATCTGAGTATGAATGCTTGACTGGATAGGACTTAACATCTATGGAGGAATACATAAGGTCCAATGAGGGGTCGGGGGCATGGATGGAAAACAGGTCTAAATTTGATTAAGAACTGTGGTATAAGATGTACAAAATCTTAATAAAAATATTTTAAAATTAGTAAAATTTTTTAAAAAGCCTAAGTGAAATCTTTTGTTTAAAATAAAAGAAGCTAAAAATAAGAAGTTTGTTCTACTTACTTTCTATTACTGTGATAAAAATACTGAACAAAACCAACTTGAGGAGGAAAGGGTTTATTTTGCTAATAGCACAGTATATCATCAAGGGAAACAAATGCAGGAACTCAGGGCAGGGACCTGGAGCACAGACCATAAGAGGAGTGTTGCTTACTGGCCTACTCCCCTGACCCATGCTCAGCCTATATTCTTATACAATACAAGACCACTTGCCCAGGAGTGGCACGGCCCATAGTGGGCTGAGCGCTCCCACATCAGTCAACAATTGAGAAAATACTGCACAGACATGTCCACAGGCCAGTCCAATGGAGGAAAGTCCTCAACTGAGATTCTCTCTTCCTAGGTTGGTCAAGTTGACAACTAAAGCTAACCAGCACAAAGTTTGTGCACTATCGGAACAAATCTCAGGGCAATCTCAGTAATCACAGAGTGAGGTTTTGCTTAAGTCTCTGTGGTCAGAGCCTGGTTTGATATTACGCAATGTGTGTGGCAAACAAGAATGAAAATAGAGAAATGAAAAAAGACATGAAGAGTGTGACTTTATCATTTTATTTTTTTATTTTTTCATAAATTTTTAAAACTAAACCTAAAATTTGTTATTTTATTTTTATGTGTATGAGTATATTGCTTCCATGTATGTAAGCGTACCTGTGTCCTGCAATGCTCACAGAGGTCGGAAGAGGGTGTCAGATCTGCTGGAACTGGAGGTATGGACAGTTGTCAGTCACCAGCTGGGTGCTGGGAACTGAGCGTGGGTCCTCTGCATGAGTAGCTAGTGCTCTTAATTGCTGAGCCAGCTCACCAGCCCCCCTTTTTCACAAATTTTGAAGCAATCAATGGTTAGAAGAAAAGTGACTTCCAAAAATTTGTATTTAGTAGAATTTGAACCACTGAATCTAATCTCAAGGACAAGGGAAAACACCTAATATCTTTTTAGGAGTGTAAGAAATATGGGCTATCAAAAAGGAGATGGCTTTGAAAGTGCAGGAATTGGCTAATGGTGATTTCCAAAGCTGAAGTCTATAGCAGAAACAGAGCACAAGATAAACACGCAAACATTTCAGAACATTCCAGAGATATTTATTCATGAACATTTTGATTTGTACCATAAGATGTGGCCAAGAGGTATTCATTTTAACCTGGGCTTTAAGACATTCTTAAGAGTTGTGTATATCCTTGTCAGTAGAGGTCTTGATGAAGTAAAGTTTCACCTTCAAACAAAGAAATATACCAAAAGACAGGTGCCCACTCTAGCATGGAGAATTGAGATTGTGCTGTGCACTTCCCAGCTGGCTATCCACAATGATGTCAACATGTGAGAAACTTCAATTTGCATTTTGTGTTTCAAATAAATTATGACTGTGATAAATGCATATGTGGTTATTCTTTTACCAGAACATTGAATTGTCAGTTTTATCAAATGTTGTCAAATGTGAAGGCAAATAGAAGGTTTTGTTTTTGTCAGGCAACCATAACAATCTTAGCTATTGTGCTAATGCCTGTGTGAGTAGAACTTGTAGTGTTTCTGTGCTTACACTGAATGTTATAGCAACAGAAATTAATAGCAAAATTTGGTATATATACAGACTTTCTGTCTTCAAAATGTCTTAGAAATATTAACTAATTTATGTCCTCTGCACAAACTGTAGCACAAGCCTGATTACTGCAGGGGAAAGAAAATCTGTCAGGATTCTGCTGTGGGAGCGGCTGCACAGCATGACACAGTTCCTGCAGATTCAGCATTTTGTCACCCTGCCAGTGGACATTGACAGAGAGCAAATATAATTTGGCAAGAAATGGCAAGAGAACACCAGAGCTGGCAGGAAGGAAGTGTGGGAAGCATGCATTTCAAAGCACTATTATTTTGGCACTACATAATATGAATATAGCATTTATTTGATTTCTTTTCCTTTTTACCAAACTCAGTATAATTAGTAACATAACATAATATTAAAATAACAGATTAATGATACTGTAGAACCAAGTCCAAACCAAGTAAACAGATCCAGATCTTGATAAGTAGTGAAGTCCTGTTGCAAAGTCTTGCTGACTGTTGCAGGGAGGAAAATATTGTGATGGGATATTCATGTTTCTTTCTTTTAAGCAGAGCAAAATGATCTGAAAGTTTTTCATTTTAGGGGGACTGTTATATACTAAGATACTATGGACTGTACCCCCAAATTATTATCTTTTAAAACTCTAGGCTAATCTTATAAAAAGGATGAGGTTAATTTTACAGAATTTTTACAGCATTTTCTTTGTACAGGTGTTCTCCCTTTAATACAGTGACTCATTCATGGATTTAAAAATATCTATTGAAAATATATGCAGAGTATTAACACTGTCACAATGCAACTATTCAAAAAAGTCTTCCTACCCCAGCACTAGCAGAGGATGCATTGGCAACTGATAATTGCCAGGAAAGGGAGAGTCAGTTTTCTTTAAGGGTATGATGTCTAATTCATTGATTGGTCTCCAAAGGATAGACTCATACTTAAGAACACTTGGAGAACACAAATCAGACTCAATAGGACTTTACAAAAATGAAAAAGAAGTACTCACTTTGGCAGCATATATACTAAAATTGGAACGATACAGAGAAGATTAACATGTCCCCTGCGCAAGGATGACATGCAATTCCTGGTGTTTCATATTTTTTTTAAAAAGGAAAAATAATAGTAGAAGACATAAAGTTCAGGGGTGAGTGTTAATATGGTTGGAGGTGGAGATTGGGAGGGGAGTCTGAATATGATCAAAACACATTGTATGAAATTCTCCAAGAATCAATAAAAATATTCTTTAAATGTCTTCATATGATTTTAAAATTGTATCAGATGTACTGAAAAACTGTTGCGTCTAATAATACATGGCATTATTTAACGTGCATTGTTTTGTACAGTTTTCTTTCTTATTTGATGAATACTAAGATTTAAGAAAATAACTAAAACATTTGGGTAATATCTGCCAGTTGCCATATCTTTTATAATTTTTAATTTGAAACAAATCTCTTCTTGCCTTCTTCTACAGGTCACTCAGTCTGATTATCTTTTGCCCAACTTATTTCTGAAGTGACCATGTACCATGAGACCTGTTACTTTGGCTGCATTCACTGATGTCTTATTCCTTTCTAAAACCATGTGTTTGGTTGCTTCATGTGAGTCTAGTAATACTGAGTCTATTAACTGATGTAAGTGACTGGTACTTGGATATAGCCTGGTGACTCTTAGCCTACTGGGGGTCAGCTCTATCCTTGGATGGTTCAATTGGACTGAATGAAAGTTCAATTAGGAGAAAGAGCTTAGGTGAACCAGAAAACATCTTTTCTCTCGTAGGATTGTAAAAGCTCCATTTGGGGGATGAAGCTGTGTATGTCGAAGCAGCAATATACAATTTCCGGAAATAAAATAGCATCATCTATTTTGAACAGTTATGGCTCAAGTAATTATGTTCTTTTATTAATCAAGCCACTTTGAGTGGAAGTTTTTGTTGTGTGGGAGATACTCCCTTTGCTCCATGGTGCAGTGCTCCTCACTTCATCTCCAGTGCAGACTATTTGGCCTGTTAGATTCAGTCCCAACTTCCTGATAATTTGGGCATAGAACTGTAGAGTTGTAGGAGATCTTAAGTTCCCATCAGGTGAGCCAATCACTTATCTGATGCTTGACTCTTTTTTGTATCATTCCATGAAAAGGGCTTCCATAGTGTCTTACTGCGGGGAATATACACATATTTTCATAATGCGTCTCCCAGGGCTGATGTTCACTCTTTTAATCACCTTTCATTCAGTTTTAAATAATGCCATATAAAGATTCTTGTTTTTATACCTGAAGTAACAAAGGCATAGATAAACTAAGTTGTTCACAAACAAGGTTAGTAAATTCCATATCCTATATGCTGTGGTTTCGATGCTGTGGTTTCAATGTATGTGTCCTTCCAAATTCATATGTTGAGATCTAAAAACCAAGGAAATGGAATTAAAGAGGTTGAGGCTTTAGGAATTGATAACATCGTGAAGCTTTCATGAGCCAGAGTAAATGCTCTTATTTTAAAAGGCTGAAGAGGGCACCCTTGTGTCTTTTGTCCTTTCACCCATCTGCCAGGTAAAGATGCAGCAAGAAGGCCCTTATCACACAACAAATTTTCTAATGCCTTGATCCTGGTCCTTCTAACTTTGAGAACTGTAAGGAATAAATTTCACTTCTTATAAATACCCCCTCCAGGTGTTTTGCCATTGCAGCACAATAAAGCATTATATTTTCAGCTAGTTCTGACAATCTCTAAGGTACCCGTGGTCTCTGTAGCTAACATTTTGATTATAGTGTTAAACTATTGGCTAATTCATTTGCTTATTTTCACAGAACTTATCATTCTGTCTCTTTTATTTCCATGACATCTGAGGATATTTGTCAATTACTTTCCCAAACAGAATCTACCACATATTTTTGAAGTACAATTCCAGTAATTTGGTGATTCTGATATAATTTTCAGTGAGACATTTGGATTCTCTATGGAACAAACTATTGAAAACAAAATCTGGACAGAATCTAATGACCTTCTACTTTACCTGAATTATCATAGTTCTCTAGAAATTGTGTGTATGTGTGTGTGATGCTTGAGTGTGTGTGTGGCAGATTACAACAAAAGCTATCAGAATCACACACGGCATTTTTCTTTACTAGTTTCAAAACTTCAAGTACATAGTCAGAAATGCCCAGATTTTGCTGATCTTATATTGCCTGTATATAGAAAGTACCCGACAGTAAATCTTAAATTATATACAGCCTAGGAAAAATTCAGAATTAATTTTTCTCCATTATACTTTAAATTAGCTTAGGAGTGTTAGACTCTGTCCACAAATTGGCTAAATTTCCATAAATTATTTTTGGAAGCATTGAGTATTTTAGCTTTTCCATCCCTTTCAGGGATCCCAATTTCAGTCCCTGCACAGCTTGCTGAGCATGCCCTCCTGGATCCCCGTATGTTGTCTTCAGTGCTCTGACTTTCATCCATGCTGCATTCTGCAGGACTCTACCACCACATCGTCTTGCATCGTGGTCTGTCACTTGTCTTGTTTTCTCATATTTTTGGTGACCTCCAAGTCTATTCCATGTAGGCTAATTCTTCCCTTGTCTCCAGTTTACCTTGCAGCCAAAGTGTTTTGAAGGTTAAGAGCCATTCTCAGCAATTAATTTCTAGGAGTACAAGTCAGCACTAAACACCAGAATGCCAAACAGAAAATAAGAAACACAGGTGTATCTACTGACCTGGGGTGGAGGGGCTGGACTAAGTGCATGGCTTTGGGGAGAACATGTGGGATTGCAGACTTGGGAATCACTTGCTGCACACACGATACCAGCTCTGAAGTGGGTGAGTGTTGCCTATGCTGCATCCTATGTAATAATGGGGTAGAAAATTTGAACGTGCTCTGCCTTCGTCCATGTGGGCTGGGTAATTTTTTCTAAAGTTGGAAAGGCAGTTTTACATAAGCAAAGTATACTTTCCCTCTCATTCAAAATGATTTTAAAAGAACTTTCTGGCCAAACAGACCTTAGGAAAAATAGGGCATATTTATATTTATCTCTTAGCATTGTATTGGTATATTTTCCAAACAGAGAGCTCCCCCACTCCCTAGTCCTGACTGAATGAATGCCCTCACCATGAGCATGAGGCTCGTCCTAGAGTAGCACTTCCTGGGTTGTTGTGCTAACAACAACCATACATAACCATGTATGTGTGATGTGTGTGTATATATGTTTGTGTGAGTGTGGATACACAAGCCCTGGCACATGTGGAGAAAAGGATTGCTTCTGGTGTTGGTTGTCAACTTCTACTTTGTTTGAGACAGCCTCTCTTTTGATATTGCACATGGCCATATATCCCATGAGCTCCTGGGACTCTCCTGTCTCTGCTTGTGATCACTCAGTATGTGCTCTGGAGTTACAGTTGCATGCTACGGTGTCCAGCTCTTACACGTGTTCTGGAGATCTGGACTCAAGTCCTCAGGCTTGTATGGCAAGTACTTCACTCACTGAGTCATTTCCCCCAGACTCCCTTATATACATGTTTTAATGGTCTCTACTTGCACTACGGAGAAAGAGAATTTTAAAGAAGTCAAGTAAGTTGTCCAGGTTTAAATAGGTTCAATACAGGCTGTGGTGGTTTGAAAGAGGCATGTCCTCCATGACTACAATTATTTGACTACTTGAGCACTGTTGGTGGCATTGTCTGCAGAGGTTTAGGAGGTGCAGCCTTGCTGGAGGAAGCACATCCCTGAGGGTGCGCTTTGAGAGTATATGACCTTGCCCACTTCCAATTTGCCTCTCTGAGTCTTGTCCTTCTTGAAGATGTGAGCTCTCAGGTTTCTGCTTCAGTTGCCTCTGCCACTATACATTCCTGCTGTGATGGACTCTTAACTCTCTGGAAGTGGAAGCCCAATAAACTTTTCCTTCTACGAGTTTCCTTGGTCATGATGTTTTATCACGGCAACAGAAAAGTAACTAATACACTGCCCAAACTGACATTTAACCAATGCTCTTTGAATTCAGGCTGTCTTGTCAACTGCTGCCTTCCTAAAGTGACTTAATATCCACCCCTGTAGGAACTGGAATGTAGCTCAGTGGTTCACATGTTTAGCATATACGGGGGGTAAATAGTACCCTCTGCCATAAACAACCAGTGACATACCCCATCTTACTTTCTGGTTTTGCCCCTGGCAAAGACATCTACTATTTGAATCTCTAAAATGATGCTCTGACTGGAATGTATATCACAGCTTGAATTCTACTCAGGTTAAAGAATACACATTTGATTTCTTTTATCATTGTACAGATTTCAGGATAATCTTCTGGATGCATATCCACGCTGGTCTATACCTTAAGTCAAGGTTGGTGACCGTTGCCTTTTAGTTTGATCCTTTAGCCTTTCTAGCACATCTATGCTTTCTCTAGGCTGGTCTCAACTGCTACTGCCTAAGTATTTGTATTGACAGCCCCCTACTAACCTGATAGCCTCTCCGTTATTCATTGAAAATGGTTATAAATCTTCATTCATTCCTACTTATTGAAGGAGAACTGCCCAGCATTGTATACAAAAGTGACAATGCCAAGTCTAATCTAAAAGCAGTAATTTTCTTTAACATTCATATTGTTATTTGTATGTTGATGAGATGGAACACAAGAGGAAAGTGATGCTAAATAATTGAACAGTTATTCTTATATCTAATTTACTTTCTTTAAAATTTCATGTTTGAATGTTATAACCACTTGTTTCATGAAAAGAAAGACTGACAAATGTTATTTCCATGGTTTCTCCTTTCTGATTTGACTTAACTCCTAAAGCCTGGAGTGGTACAGCTTGTACAATTTGCATGTGAGTTAATTTAGAGTTTCTTTGGAACACAAACATAAATGAAACTTATAGATATATTTTATTTGAAATTATTTTTCTGGAGGTGAATTAGTGTTTAGGGGTCAGACTGCTTCTTTCTATACCCCGGCATCTACTTTTCTGCTGTGTGTCTTGAATAAGCTATTCTTGTCTGTGCTTCAGTGTTACCATCTCTGGTGAGACAGAAACTGTACTCACAGTACAGAATGTGGGGGCAATTAAATGTCTGAATTTCTTTTTTACACTTTATTTATTTATTTGTTTGTTTGTTTATT